AATGGTAGCCGGGCACCATCTAGTTCTTCTGGTCTCAGGGTTCTGGAGCCCGATGTTTGCATCCTTCCCTTCTTTACTGTCCTTCAGAATCGTAGCCCAGGTGTCTCTCCCCCCTGTGAGCCCTATCCTGTTTAGGTCAGGCTCTCCTGTTACAATCGTAACATTGTTTTATGTCTCCCTGGTATGTGTTATAGTTGCAACCTCAGTTCCCACTCATAGCAATAAGATAGAACAAAACAATGCCTGGTCCTCTGGCGCCTCCATACTTGTTACATCTGAGTCCACTGTTGCAGCCATTATGTCCATCCATCTCTTTGGGGGGTCTTCCACTTTTTCCTTGACCTGCTACATTCCCAAGCATTCCTTTCCCAGGGGCTGGTCTCTCCTGATGTCCAAAATATGTGAGCTAACCTCTCACCATCCTCGCTTCCAAGGAAAACTCTGAAGGGGCAGATTTGTTCTTTTGGCAACCTGTGATACTTTCATGGTTCATCACCAACATAATTCAAATGCATCCGTTTCTCTCAGGCCTTCTTACTCCACTTTGAGGAGGCAGCTGGTCCTCAGTCACATTACGAGTGTCTTCCATCCGGTGGGGGCACTGTATCACACCATGTCCTGCGGCTCTTCCTAAGGTTTTCCAGACGTGTACTGTCTCTTCTCCTTCCACTGAAACCTGTCCACCATCGATGAGCCTGCTAGTGTTTGAAATACCGGTATCACAGCTTCCATCACGGGAACACAAAGGCCACCACAGTGCAAGGCACTGATAGTGGATTGCAAATAGTCAGGGATCGATCCCTATCTGTGGATTGAAGGCCGACTTCCCAAAGGGTTTTGCAGGGAAGCGGAAACCCAAGCAGAGGTGGGTTTGGTACCAGGGCACCCGAGAAAGCAACGGAAGGAAGGTCACGGTCGCTGAGGCCTGGGGAGTCTGGGTAGGCTCCCCAGGCCATGCTTGCGGGGTGGCGGCCCAGGGCTTTTGTGCGCTTTGTCCTAAACGTCTGTCCTGCCCCTACCAGAGGCGGCGTCCCAGGAGCTGGAGAGCAAGTGCCGCGCGCTGGAGTCGCAACTGGCCGAGCGGGCAGCGGCCAACGCGGAGCTGCGGCGGGAGGTGGCGCAGCGCGAGGTGCTGGTGTCCGCGCTGCGCGGCAGCCTGCGCGCCGAGGAGCGGCGCTTCCTGGAGGAGCTGCGCCGCCGCAGCCACCGCGCCACCGTGCTGGGCGCCGAGCTGCAGAAGCACACCGAGGCGGCCGCCTACCTCTCCTGCCAGCTGCACGCGGCGCGCCAGAGACTGCAGGCCCCG